CCCGCAGCCATGGGGACGGTAGCACCCACGTCCTGCCCGGTACCGGAGCAAGTTCTCCTCGGGACCAGTACTGGTCCCAATTTTTTCTACTTAATTAATAATGACAAATATTCCTATTTTTAAACCTATAAATGTTAAAGAATACGATTTTAAACAGTCAAAATATGAAGTTGCACCACGACTACCATTTTCTCAAATTATAGTGGGTCCTAGTGGTTCTGGTAAAGGTATATTTCAACTATATCTATGTCTGTATTCTTTCATCTTTATCTATTATCTACATCTATGTGTATATCTATGTCTATACTCGTTTCTATCTATATGTACCTATACCTAGCAATCTTTCGATGTTATACTTTCATACATATCTATATCTATATTCATATCGGTATCCATAACTGTATCTGTATCTATATCTACGTCTATATATATATATATCCATATCCATATCTATACCTGTGTCTGTATCCGTTTCTATTTCTGCATCTATATATCTTTATCCTTTTCTGTATCTATAACTCTATCTACATCTATATCTTTATTTACATCTTTGACTATATCTTTATCTATACCTATATCTAATTCCATATTTGCATCTGTATCTATATCTATACCTACATCTCTCTCTCTCTCTCTGTATATATCTGTATATATATATATATGCACGTGAAGCTATATCTAATGTTTCACATGCGCACATACACACACAGAACATAAGCATGCACACAGGCGCACCCCTGGCACAAACATGTTTGTGCATGCGCCCATGCAGAAAGAATCTACGTCCAAATCTGCACGCATCCACGTATGTGTGTATACGCATGCATACATGCAGCATGTACATGCATGTGTCTGCATGCACAGTTACATGCAGACATATATTTCATACTTATGTGTAAATGAGCATGTATTCATGTACAATATGTATATATGTATGTATACATATATATGTATGTATGTACGTATGTATGTATGTATGTATGTATGTATGTATATATATATATATTGTGTACACACACATATGTGTGTATATATATGTATATATATGCATACATACATACATACATACATATATATATTTATATGTATATATACACATATGTAGGTTTACATATGCATGTTCAGACGCACATTCACTAAAATATGCATCAACCCATGCCCGATTCTAAAGCAGCTGATCTCGGTTTGGGGAGCAGTGCATTGTTCTGAGCCATGTGCAAGCCCCCAAAAGGAAGAGAACACCTGAGAGCAGCTGAGTGAGTGAGTGTGTGTCTTCAGTAGAGACATGGAAGCACCGCATGTCTGCGTTAAAACATGTCCAATGCCGGGGTCAGGAGAAGACTCAGTCCCAGTGGCCCGAGTATGCTGTCAAGGCGGCGGAATCGGCAAGGCTCGTCGTGCTGCTGTCGGCTCTGGAGCTTGTAGGTCATAAACACAAAGACCATGGAGGAGCTCGGGTACGAGGCGCGTTAAGTAGGCTAGCTTGTGAAGGCTATTGTGGTTCTTGTGACATGTCCCTGTTGTAGGCATCTGTAAACCGCGAGATTTGCGTGCTGAAGATGCTGAGTCACCCCGTGGGCGGCCTGCAACTGTTGTATGCGCTGCACGTGTCACATTCCACAGCTCGAACGAAGACGAAGTCCACAAAACAGGCAGAATCATATGCTCGGAAACCAGCTCACTGCCTAGGGAATCGCGCGGATGGTTGCCGCCTTCCGTTACCGCGATGGTGCCTACTTAGTGTTGGAGTGCGCCTGATCAATTCTTAGTCTTGCTGGTTTCATACGGCGTGGTTCTGGCATTAGGAGTTTATAGCAGGTATGCCCACAAGGGTGATCTGCACAACATTCTGGTTGGTGCTGGGAAGCTTGAAGAGGACGGCATGGTTGTGACAAACCCCATCTTCGGCTTGCTCTTGGTACGCCGGCAATTCAGGTAAGGGTTCCTGACATGCCTTCCGCTTGTCATGATCTGCAGGATGTGGTCCGCTTCCTTGTGGGAGAGGTGGTGGCAGCGCTGTGTGCGATACATGATATAGGCGACCGTGCAAGACAATTCGCAAGTCAGGGTGACCTTTGCTCAGCGTGCGAAGGTTTCATGTACGGTGATCTGAAGCCAGAGAACATAGTCGCAGAGCGCTTGTGGGACATCAACATGCTTGTATCTAAGCTCTTGACGCGATGAACGCCGAGGTCACTTCCTCGAATCACGCGAAGCTTACCGACTTCGGCGGGTGTCGTCCTATCACGGACGAGGCACCAACACTGCCATGGAGCTAGCATGGAGAAGTTGCACGAATGAATGCCGGTGCGCCAACTGTCGGCACATGGCAAGACGCACTTCACATCTTGATCCTGCACGGATCCTCTTGAAGTAGCACCCTTGCTCAAGAGTACCTTGGTAGCACGCTGCTGGACTCTGATGTGTTCCTTCCGCACACTGGTGAATTTCGGCGCGGCCCGGAAGCAGCCATAGCGCCAACAGCGTTTGTGCAGGTAGCGCCTAAGAGCCACGTGTCATGAACAGTCCTATGCTAAAAGCTTCCCTGAATGCCAAGGCTTTGGCACTCGCAGCAGGGCATGGCCAGCTGACTGTGCTTTAGGCTTATAAAGCTGAGAGGTACACTCCTACCGATGACTCGATGTTTCCCTGTGTAAAAATTGACTCGAGGTGTTCTACTGGATTGAGATGGTCCTGTCCCAGAGTCCTTAATAAATACGATACACTATATACGATGCGCGATATACTTTCTACTATCCTAACCCTAAGCTGTATTCGTTTTTCTTGCTATAATTTTGAATATATACTATATCATATATAAGGTGCCGACGGTTCGAGGGGACTCACTGGGACGCCGGGTGACTTGGCTCGCATCGGCGTCGGTTCTTCACCTTTTTTTGGGCCATGGTAATTTAGGGTTAAGGGTTTAGGGTCTAGGGCTTAGGGTTTTTGGACAGTAAGGAAAGCCATGAACAAAGGGCCCCTGTCTACACACTTGATGGCAATCGGGGCGGTTACTCTCCCACAAGAACCCAGGCTGCAGTTCACACGGCACCAGCTCGAGTTCACACGGTTTCTGCTGCAGCGCAGTTTGTCAGCTCGAGTTCACAGGAAACCAGCTCGAACTCCTCCCCTCCCCTCCCTCCCTCCCTCCCTCCCTCACTCATTCCCCTCCACTCCCTCCTTACGATTGGCCCGTTGTAGCGCTCAGGCATGCGATGTCACGATTTCAACCCAGACTCAGACGGACCGAAGACCACTCTGCAAGCTGGGTCCTCCTTTGATGCACGGCCGCAACGATCCGTGTGAAGTGAACCCTGCGGCCCGGCGGGGTGGGCACAGTACCGGAAACAAAATCGTACGAGTCGTAGTGATCTTCGTGCTACTTGTAGTGTTAGTATTGGTTTGGACCACGCTTCTCCTTTTGGAGGGTTTTCTGGGTTTTGCAAGCGCGATTCCTTTGAGGGTCTGGGTTTTGCGAGCAACGTGTCCTTTGAGAGCTTTGGGTTCTCAGCCAACATCTCCTTTTTTAGGGTTTAGGGGTTCTCAATCAACACATCCTTCTACGGTGTCGGGTTGCTCGACCAGTTCAACATCACCATTTAGGGTATTCTGGGTGCCAACATCTCCCTTTTAGGGTTTTGGGTTTGTCCACCAACATCTCCTTTCGGGGTTTGGGGTGTGGCAACCAACATCAGCGTCCTTATAGGGTTTCCAGTTTGGCAACAAGCATCTTCCTTTGTTGTCTTAGGTGTTTCAAGCAATTGGAGTTTGGCAAGCAACATCTCCTTCGGGATTCTGGGGTTTGCCAGCAACCTTTTTTCGGGTTGTGGTTTCGCAGCCAATATCTCTTTGTGGGGTTTGGGTTCGGCAACCAACTTCTCCTTTTAGGATTTAGGGTTTCGGGTACGGTAAGCAATTTTTTTCGGGTTTGGGAATCGCAGCCAACATTTGTTGTTTAGGGTTCTGGGTTTTGCAAGCAACAACCTCTTCTAGGGTTCTGAGTTTCGTAGCCAACAGCTTTTCTTAGGGTTCGTGTTTCTCAACCCATATCTCCTTTCAGGCTTTCAGGGTTTGGGATTGGCAAGCAACACCTCGCTTTAGGCCTGTGCTTCTTGAAAGCAGCATCTCCTTTTCGGGTTGCGGGCTTGGCAACCAGACTCTCTTCGTCAGGTGCTGGGTTCGGCAACCAACTTCCCCTTCGAGGGTTTCGGGCAAAATCTCCTTTTCCGGGGTTTGGAAATTGCAGCCAACATCTCCGATTTAGGTCTTTAGGTTTTGTAAGCAGCATCCCGAGATTTGGGTGTGGCACCAAACATCTCCTGTTAGGGGTTTGGAATTGGCAAGCGACATCTCCCTGTCAGCCTGTTAGGGTCCAGGGCTTCTCAATCAACATATACATTTTAGGTTTCCGGTGTTTCAACCAACATCTCCTTTTAGGGTTGTCCGCTTTGGCAAGCAACGTCTCTTTTTAGGGTTCCGTCCGCGCGGCCAGCGGCCCGCAGCCTGCGGGCTGGCCCGGTGCTGTGATCCGCGGCGCGCGGCACGCGGACACAGCGATAAACCCCGCGGCGTCTGCGCTGAGGATGTGACCTGGACCATGGAGGCCGGACACCCTGGCGACTGCTACTTCTATGTCAGTTCCTGGCCTGTCTTCGGTTGTTCTGTTCCACGAGGGCCTGAGACTGTCAGCCACTGTACATTTAAGGCTACGATCCCGATCCCAGCAATGTGGCATCCTGGCTGTCCTGTCTGGATTCTCTGTAACGATTCCGGTCTGCATCTCGACTGATCCCACCACTGAGGCTAACTTCTTCAAAATTGCTGCATTCCCGGGCTGTGGTGCACCGGATGGACAGAATCTCAGTCTTCCTGCGTCTGGCTCCATGTCAAAGCCTCAAAGCCATGCCTGCCTTCCGCCCTAAGGACTAAACATCCCGTCGTCTGTCAGCACTTCAGTCCTCCTTCCCGCAGAACTGCCGGCCTGCGAGCACTGCGTGCTGCGTTGGGAGTGGACCGGGCATCAGCAGGCCAGGAGGGGCGGGCCCAAACTCGGCTGAGAAGTGCTTCTTCCCCCTTCGTGCAGGTTGTCAATATCGAATTTTATGTCCAGTGTGCGGACATCAAGGACTCCTGACTCTGACTCCTGCCCTCTTTCCTGTGTGTAAATAGACCTGATTTGTGTCAGCTTTTTTCCAGATCGCCAGCAGCGCTCAACCTGTGCTGCCTTCACCAATGACGCCGATCTCGGGCATTGAGCATCTGCCACAGGGTGCTGAAGGATACCGCAAGGCCCCGGAATGATTTGCATTGAATTAGGACCGCATCCTGCGTCTGAGTCTGACACCACAGCGTCACCCGTGTCGGACCTTAAGGTATACAACGGTCAGGGCCCAGAGGAGCAGTACCTCGTGGGACCCGCCATAGCGACCTACAGCTCCTGCGACGCGAACACGCCAGGCTTCGAACTCTGGATTCACGCAGTCATTTTGGGGTTTGTGGGTTGGCAGATCTTCAGCTTATGCGGATCGTTGCGAATCGAAACCGGAGGTTGCCTGGGCTTGGGAATAGCGCCGATTCCGACTGACTCGACGTCGCCATCTGCAGTGACCTCCACGACATCGGAGACTTCAGTCGTCACCTCGCCGTCTGAAGCAGGCAACACTTGATTTCTGCACACAGCAATTATCCAAAAGAAGGCTCTTGAAGCGGTAGTATGGTCTGGCAAAGAAGGATGCACATGTACTCCGAGCACTGAATGGACGGGGGACTTCAGCCAGTATGCCCTTTGGATGCAATCGGTTGCACCCCTTGCCAGGACATAGCAGGCGCCTGAGCCGAGGCTTCGGATCAGGACTTCTGCAGCCAGAACTTCGGCGGCTCCAACCCTTGGATATCTGCCGCTTCACTGCAAGCGCTGGCAGAGTTGACACATCTTGACACGACCCCGCGATGGTGGTGGAGAACGCCTCACTAGTATCAGAACAAAGTCCCAGTCTTTCTGGTATTTGCTTGTCAGCATGTCCTGATACTTCATTGCTGCAAAGGCCATTCTGCTCCATCCCCTTGTGCGCCTATCTCATCGGAACCTCGTTCGCTCGTGTCCTTAAGTATTCTCACGGCTTGAGATCGTGCATCCGCAGTCCGAATTCACCGCGAGCGTGAATCCACCTTACGCAAGTCCACAGTTCGTGCACGAATCTGCCCTGCATGAGCAAATCGCTTCGGTCTGCATCCCTGGTGCCCGAATCTGGCGCTGTCAGTTCGGGAATTTTGAATACCAGGTGCTCAAATCCTCCGCCCCGGTGCAACAATCATCTGTGCCCGACTCCGCCAGTCCAACCCATACCAGTGCGCACATTTCCCGGTGTGTCAGTTTTTTTCTTCGGTGCACGAAGCCGGTATTTCCAGTGCGCGAATCGGTCCCCTACCTACAAATCCGGAAGCCTAGAACTGCTGGAGGCCGGTGGTGGGCCGGGCACCTCTGGTGGATTCAGCGGGGCCGGCCCTTGCACCTCTGGACAATACAACTTCCAGGAGGACTTCTGGGCCATCGGGTTTAAGGCTTTTTGACGTTGTCGGAGGAGAGCTATAAATCCGTCAAAAGCTGTGGGGGGGGGCCAGCCTTTGGATTTCATTGTCAGACCTTTGAGGCTTTGTCTGCTTGCCATTGGCATCAAGCGGGATCAGTGGGATCTCATAAGGTTCGCACCCATTTTCATTTCGTGTTCGTGGAGAAAATCGACGATCGCGCAGGTGATCGTCGGTTCCGTCCACGTGCCGCGGCTTCATTCGCTCGATGTGCCCTGAATCTCCAGGATGGCAGCTGGCACATCTTGGCTGGGCAGGCAGGTGCCAGCATCTCCCCGAAAGATCATCCAAATCGAAAGCTCTGCCAGGAAGCTCTGGGTGTGATGCCCTATCGAGCTTTCGCATATGCCCAGTTCTGCAATGGCAAAGCATATTCCGAGTGCTGGACCACTGGCGCAGCTGCCTTTAGCTTCTCCTTGATGGTTCGTGGTGTGAGCCAGCCGCTCGTTCATACGGCACATCGGCGTGCTTACCCCTAGAAATTTCTTCCTGAGCGCTGTATGGATTGCACAGTGATCTTCACAAGGACTGGAGCCTTTGTCAAAGTTCTGTTTTGGACCGACTCCGGCAACATCCTGGGGCTGGTGCCTCCAAGTGGCTTGGCAACCTCGTCCTCGTCGTACAGTCTAGTAACAGCAGCAGTTGTGGCGGGAGTGTTGGTGGTGGTGGGAGTTAGGGTGGGGGAGCTGGGAAGGGAGTCTGGTGAGCAGGGTGGAGGGTGTGGGTCGGTGCAGGAGTGCGTGGGTGCTTCTTGATGTATGCGGCTATCTAGAAGTACAAGCCTTTGCATTAGCACCTGTTTCTGTATGAAAACGTGGTGCGCCTTCTGCTCCTTCGCAACATCCGGAGAACGGCGCCCCAAGGATACTTCCAAGCCCGACACCCGGAACTTGACACCCAAAAAACCCTTACCCTACAACCCCGAACCCTGAACCCGAATGCCCTAGGTGGTGGGGTGGGGTGGGACGTCGTGGGTTCTAAAACAAAACGTTATGCAAAGGTTGACGATTCGTGTGCGGTCACCCGCAGCCCGCCACTACGACCACAAAACAGAGATCCTTGCAAGCAGGTCAAAAACGGGATCAAATAAGGCTTAGTTCAAACTTCAAATATGCAGGAAGGGGAGTCGAGGCGATGGGAAGATACCAAACATGGACGCTGAAGCCTCGGCGCATATTCAGTACACTCCTAGCTCGAACCACAAGAACATGAGCAGCAGTGCCACTAATCGCAACGCTTATGTTGAAGATTGGGATGGTGATGCAGATTGAGATGGTATCGCCCCAAGATCAACAGCAATGCTACTCGTAGCAGTAAGTGCACGAAAACCACGGGCTATATTGCTAAGAGGTACCAGCAGCAGTAGCATGTTCCTCTGTGTTGAGCCGGACATTCTGCACCAAAAGGTCATCCGAAAGGTGAAGGTAAGCTCCGACTCGTTGCCTTCATGACCGATGATTATCCGAATTCCTGGGACTTCGAGCTGGAGATCTCTGAGTCTACGTGGTACCATATCCAGGTTGCTTTCCAAGCGTCGACAGGCCGGAATGGACTTCCCGCGCGAATCTCTTGAAGTTTCCGACTGCCACGAATCCGCCGCAGGCGCTGCAGAGATCTCCGTGAATGGTGTGGTCTTGGGTTCAGGAACCTTGCCGGCTCCACTCTTAGCTTTGCTCTCTGACTTGCCTTTGAATCGACAGCCACATGTGCGTGCCCAGGTAAACATGCTTGCAGCGACCACCGGACCGCAAATCGGAATTTATTCCTTTGACTACGGGACGAGCTGGCCTGCCGATGCTTCGTTGAACAGAGGGAACCCTGAGCCTCCCTGAACCCCAAACCCCGAGAAGAAGACCTGGCCTTCGTCTGTCTGGGAGAGGTCACTTCAACTGCATCAGGCATTTCTGGTTTCTGACATCCTTCAGGGATAGGGCTTGGAGCCATCATTTCGATGGGGGATCGCCAGAATGCCGTTGAGGGAGGTCCCGAGCTTGTTTGCCACCGCAATAACACGGATGCGTTGAGGGTCCTGCTGAGAGCCACTGAGACGAGATCTGTCCTGCGAGGAGGGTGTCGTCTTGTCTTTGGCAGATGTCTGCATTGGAGAAGTTGCTGGAAGCTGTCGTTCAGGCCAGGGACCACTCTGCCCAATTGTGGATTGTGACTCGGTCGAGTGACGGAGGGGTGCGGTGCAGGTGTCATCGCCTCTCCAACTGAAACGGTAGCTTCAACGGCATTGTCAACGACGGCTGCAGGCGCAACATCAGGCAGGCAACCACCCCACGAAGACATTGTGGCCTGCAGCGTAGCCATGACAGCGGACTTAGTCAGTCTTTGAAGCCAAACGAGCCTCAGCAGATCAACCCGCGTACACTGCATGTGATTATTGGTACGGTGTGTATCGATGGTGCATATACGGCTTTCGTCAGACATGGCTCCATATACATAGCATTGACATAGCATAGACATAGCATAGACATAGCATAGACATAGCATAGACATAGCATAGACATAGACATGGACATACATACATACATACATAAGTACATGCATTCCTACATCCATGCATGCATGCATGCATGCATGCATGCATGCAAGCATACATCTGTCCATCCATCCATCCATCTATCCATCCATCCATCCATCCATCCATCCATCCATGCATGCATGCATGCATGCATGCATGCATGCATGCATGCAAACATGCATATGTACGTACGTACATACATACATACATACATACATCCGTACATACATACATACATACATACATACATCCATACATCCGTACATACATACATACATACATGCATACATACATACATACATACATACATACATACATGTCTGTATAT